CTAGTACCCTAAAATCTTCTTGATGATTCTGGTATTTTGAGAATTTGAACTATATATAATCTACTTTCTTGCCCTTCCGTTATTACCTTTCTTTGTCAAAACGACCCCTTATTACATAAACTTTCCTTCGCTGGGCTCAGTAAAATCCGTTCCTTATTCATTAATTCATAACGTTTTTCCCAAATTTTTTTCGCATCTTCTTAACATATGTTTCAGACAATCTACCTCTTTTTTACGTATTCTATACTGTCTGTCCTCTTCCTTCTTTCAATATTTACATCCCTTACACCTAATCCCCTCGTCAGTCCCTCTATAAAGTCTACCTTAGCCCCACAACATATGTTGATTACTTTTTTTTTCTTAAATCCCCTCCTCTTATCATTTTCCTGTATCTGTTCCTCATCATTTCCCATATATATCCCTTCTCTAAACCACTTCCTTACCTGCTTCTGGTTCGTTTTTCTTCCTCCTACTCTCTATTATAAGTATTTTTCGTTTTTTTACCTATTCTCTATTTCCAATACCGTCTTCCTCTATATTTCCTTCGTGATATTTCTTTCTTTCAACCTCCCGAACTTCTCATATTTTACAGTGCTTATTATTGATTCTTCCCATACTTTTCCACATTTAGTCTCCCTTATTATCACATAATCTGCCTAACTCTCTAATTGATATACCCACTTGATATATGTTTTACATCTACCTACTTTGTTTTAGAATTTAAACTTAGGAGTTAGTTTGATGAAGCATACATACTTATGTACTGACAAATGTGTGGCTACTTTTACACAAACAAATTATGTAAATATATATTACTCTCAATGTTAGGATTCCCGCCTAAATTTAGCTACTGAAAATATTCGTAAAACCAAGCAGCGTTTTAAAGAAAGTTATTAATTTTACTTTGGGTAAAATGAAGGTCACTCAGAAGAATAAGTACTGACTTAAAAAGGCACAATAGGCTATAAAGTTTTTCATCGGAAGAAATTAAAAATGTCGGAGTGTTTGTTTCTGGTATCCATGTTTTAAGGTTTTCGTTACCGGTAATTAAAAAAAATTGGTTACGTTCAGAAATAGCAGCTGCGGAGCTTAGAGTGTCACAGAAACATAATAATTATAGTTTATGATTCAATTAATTTTACTAGAGTTACGTAAAGGTAAGAATACTTTCATCAACAATGTATTTCGGCGATATCATCTAGCTTTAGGAAAGTGGACTTTCTTTCTCATTATGGAACAAGTGACGCTGTATTAACTTTATTAATGTTACAATAAACCATAAGGATGGAGCTATTTAGTTGACATTAATGAATCACTTCATTTAACAGCGTGGTCTACGATTATATTGTAAATACTAAAATTACCGTTGCAGGAAGAAACTATCAAGCGAATAATTTCGTTTTTTGCGTAAATATAATCCATTAGCTTATATCAGTTTTATAAGTGACTTTTACAAGTGTTGTAATTACATCCCTGATGAAGTTTCCAAGAAGTTTCTGTATGTTGACACATTCTCGATGCGACTTTTCCAATGTCTTTCATGACACGTGTCGTAACTTCTGGAATGTGTAGGTATGACATAAATTTCTAACGAATCCCTCTGTTAGGAATGTTTGAACTTGGTGAGATCCCAACATCCAATAGAAGTTAGTAAATACATGATGAAAAGTAATGTTAAACATCTTCGTGTAAAACATGATGTTCGAGTTTGTCAAAGATGTTTACGATAACATTAGTTGTAAAATTTAATTTTAGTTTTACATATCTGTCATTCTTAATTCTAATTTATTCATAGTCATGTTCGACCATTTGGATCATTTTACAACTCTTTCCTTTCCGTTAAGAACATATTCTGCATTATTTATTCATAATGAAAATTTCTAGAAAGATACTTCCATATGCTTGGGAAACCGTTTATAATGTGTATTCCCGAAAAGGGATTATCCTCTCATCCTGTCTTATTAGGGGCGTTGAAATCTAAATGAGCTGTTAATTATTAGTTAGTACAAGAATTCTTTAAAACTCACACCCTTTTAATGTTGGACAGGATTCATCCTTACACTTTCCGATTATATTCTTTCCAGTAGAAACATTTTCTGCATTTGTTTATTGGGATTGTTTGTTCCAGTATGCTACAGAGAGCTCAAGAGACCGGTTACATAAACATCAACTGTGTCGATCCATTGGGTAGAAGTGCACTTCTTATGGCCATTGATAACGAAAACTTAGAAATGGTGGAACTTCTTATCGAACATAAAGTTGAAACTAAAGACGCTTTGCTGCATGCCATTTCCGAAGAGTTTGTTGAGGCTGTCGAGGTGCTTCTGGACCACGAAGAGACGATACATAAACCTGGAGAACTTCATGTAAGTAATCAAATAATTGATTATACTTTTAGCTGAGCACTTTCCATTCTTAACAAGCAAACACTAAATATGCCTGCGAAAATTTATTAACTTAGGGTATTAATGATTAATAAATAAATAAAGTTAATAAAAAACTATAAATAATGGCATAAGAATTCTAAACTCTGCTAAGAAATTTCCATCATTTTCTGATTCATTAATTCTTTCATTGTGGAAGTTCCTTTCGTAAGGAATTCGAATTAGGAGATGTAGCAGTGAAGTGAGTAATGAAGTGGAAGCAAAGCATTAAAAGATTAAGAGTGTCACTTCTTAAAGAACGCCTACTGATAATGAATAGTCCAGATACGTAGAAGACCGTATTATAAAGAAAGGCGAACAGCATCTTTTAATCGGCATTGATTTTTATCTCCGTCATTATCACTATTCGGGAAAAAGGAGTCCAGAAAAAGAAACCGTCTTGACGTTAATTTACAATTTAAATTAAATTAGCACAATAATGATAATTTAAGGACAATGAAAAATTAGAAAAAAGGGTACAGTGTAACTGAATAGAGGAAATTACATTCGTTCTCAAAATACTTCATCCTTGAAGGAAGTTCATTAAAAATGCTATAGGGTTGTTCGGAAAGTCATTTCGTTTTTTCCCGACAGAGGATTTAATTGTATTCTTTTGCACCCAACTTCACATTTAAGCCGTATAATTTTTATATNCTTAACAAGCAAACACTAAATATGCCTGCGAAAATTTATTAACTTAGGGTATTAATGATTAATAAATAAATAAAGTTAATAAAATTGGTAGGCCTTTAGTACATCGTTGTATGTATTTAGATTTGCAAGATCATACATTTGGGAGACCTCGAAGAAATGCTAACATGTCTATTCGATTTTAAAAATCGATATACTTACATTAAATGTCTACGAACGATTATTTTATGATGGTTATTGATTCGTTTACTGGATTTACCTCACTAGTACCCTAAAATCTTCTTGATGATTCTGGTATTTTGAGAATTTGAACTATATATAATCTACTTTCTTGCCCTTCCGTTATTACCTTTCTTTGTCAAAACGACCCCTTATTACATAAACTTTCCTTCGCTGGGCTCAGTAAAATCCGTTCCTTATTCATTAATTCATAACGTTTTTCCCAAATTTTTTTCGCATCTTCTTAACATATGTTTCAGACAATCTACCTCTTTTTTACGTATTCTATACTGTCTGTCCTCTTCCTTCTTTCAATATTTACATCCCTTACACCTAATCCCCTCGTCAGTCCCTCTATAAAGTCTACCTTAGCCCCACAACATATGTTGATTACTTTTTTTTTCTTAAATCCCCTCCTCTTATCATTTTCCTGTATCTGTTCCTCATCATTTCCCATATATATCCCTTCTCTAAACCACTTCCTTACCTGCTTCTGGTTCGTTTTTCTTCCTCCTACTCTCTATTATAAGTATTTTTCGTTTTTTTACCTATTCTCTATTTCCAATACCGTCTTCCTCTATATTTCCTTCGTGATATTTCTTTCTTTCAACCTCCCGAACTTCTCATATTTTACAGTGCTTATTATTGATTCTTCCCATACTTTTCCACATTTAGTCTCCCTTATTATCACATAATCTGCCTAACTCTCTAATTGATATACCCACTTGATATATGTTTTACATCTACCTACTTTGTTTTAGAATTTAAACTTAGGAGTTAGTTTGATGAAGCATACATACTTATGTACTGACAAATGTGTGGCTACTTTTACACAAACAAATTATGTAAATATATATTACTCTCAATGTTAGGATTCCCGCCTAAATTTAGCTACTGAAAATATTCGTAAAACCAAGCAGCGTTTTAAAGAAAGTTATTAATTTTACTTTGGGTAAAATGAAGGTCACTCAGAAGAATAAGTACTGACTTAAAAAGGCACAATAGGCTATAAAGTTTTTCATCGGAAGAAATTAAAAATGTCGGAGTGTTTGTTTCTGGTATCCATGTTTTAAGGTTTTCGTTACCGGTAATTAAAAAAAATTGGTTACGTTCAGAAATAGCAGCTGCGGAGCTTAGAGTGTCACAGAAACATAATAATTATAGTTTATGATTCAATTAATTTTACTAGAGTTACGTAAAGGTAAGAATACTTTCATCAACAATGTATTTCGGCGATATCATCTAGCTTTAGGAAAGTGGACTTTCTTTCTCATTATGGAACAAGTGACGCTGTATTAACTTTATTAATGTTACAATAAACCATAAGGATGGAGCTATTTAGTTGACATTAATGAATCACTTCATTTAACAGCGTGGTCTACGATTATATTGTAAATACTAAAATTACCGTTGCAGGAAGAAACTATCAAGCGAATAATTTCGTTTTTTGCGTAAATATAATCCATTAGCTTATATCAGTTTTATAAGTGACTTTTACAAGTGTTGTAATTACATCCCTGATGAAGTTTCCAAGAAGTTTCTGTATGTTGACACATTCTCGATGCGACTTTTCCAATGTCTTTCATGACACGTGTCGTAACTTCTGGAATGTGTAGGTATGACATAAATTTCTAACGAATCCCTCTGTTAGGAATGTTTGAACTTGGTGAGATCCCAACATCCAATAGAAGTTAGTAAATACATGATGAAAAGTAATGTTAAACATCTTCGTGTAAAGATAGGGGATATAAAAATGTATACCTACAGAAATAATTTAAAAAAAATGTGGTTGATATGGTAAAAAAAGAAGTAATGATTTATAAGAGAGAAGGTTTTGAAATATATACAAAAATCTGAGTATTTTGTGGGAAGAATGTCAAAATGATAGAAACATCAGAATACCTAATGAAAAGGAAAGATATATCCGTAATAGCGAAATTCCGAATGGAAATGAGAGTAAAGGATATAAATATAGATTGGAAGTTAAAGAAAAAAATGTAGGATGTGAAAGAAAGAACAGAAATTATTGAGACATATTTCTAAAGAATGCATGAAAAATAATGTAACGAATGGGTGTAAAAAGTTATTGAGTAATGTAACAATGGTACGGACGTATTTAAAGGGTCATTAGGGAGATAAAAAAGAGAAAAGAAAGGATAATAAAAATAAAGAATATGTACAAGGGATTTTATACATAGTCCAAGAAAAATGTAAGGATTAAGAATATACATATGTATTTAGGATTTTGTTCTATTACAAAACTTATTTTTTGTGGATAATACGTTAAAATGTGTTTATAATAAAATGACATATGGTTAACAGATAAATAGAAGTTTTCCTATTTATTATAGCTTATAGCATCTCCTAGAGATATGATTTAGTTTGAATAAACCTCTATTAAAAACATAAATACAAAATGCAAAATACTTACGTTAAACGTTCTTATTCATTGCTTATCGCGTATGTGAATACCGTAGTAACGCTTGAAATACTTCAGTAGCAGAAAAAACCGCCAGATGGCGATACACTGCCTAGATTAGGACATTATGTATACACTTGGTATTTTAAAGCTTGGATCATTTCCTAAATTTACATTTGCTGTGCTGTTATGCATCCTGCGTTTTAATTTTTTTCGTTTTAAGTGCAATCATCGGCATACAAACCGAGCCATTTTAAGACGTTTACATTAATGGAAATTAAATTAATAATTTTAAGGCATTAAAGTATGTTAGTATAGGCACATATGTATGTAGGTTGTGTTTAGATTATATGTTAAAAATATCTAAAACGTGAACGACTTAAATAGCTGGAAATATTGGACGTGGTTTGGTTAAAAACGTAATAAACGCTCGTTTGTTTATAAAATTTATGGTAAAGCATTACATCCTAAATAGTTGAATTTAATTGAAACCATAAAGTATAAAATACGTAATAACAGATAAACCCGGCTAATACTGTTTGACAAAGACTAACGCAAGTTGGAATTTAATACGTAGTTTTAACACTCGAAATTACTGCGACTTCTTTGGGAGTTTTTTTATGTTTTATCTTTTAGCATTAGAAATTTTTCAAACGCATATTGCGAAAATTTGCTTATGTTTTCGTTTTCCAAAAATTAACTTAAATTTTCGTATAATAAACATCATTACAAATAATCAATGATTCCTGGGGGTGGGTTATGTTTATGGTGACATTTTAGTTGCAGACAATCGTTCTTTTTTACTTACTTAATAAAATTTTTTAAAGGGACATTCGTCTAATACAGTTGCCATTGAGCTACCGTGTGTGTAACTTTGACAAGACGATTTTCGTACGGGGGATAAGTCAACAGGGGCGAACCTAATTTGCAGACTACTTGTTACTTTGGAAAGGATAACTTAATATCTCTCAAGGGAGATATAGCAGGGAATCTCTTTTAAGTGCTTTGCCCAATTTCAAATAAAATGGTAACCTATTTATCATTCAGTTTTCCTTCATTTCCATGTTTTTATGCGATTTAAGCCAATTTACACTACAATTAGATTGTTGCCGTTTAAATTTTATTCACAAATGGAACGGGGGGGGGGGTAAAAACACTCATTTTAAATACTGACAAAAAGACATAGCAGACAACGGCAGTTTGACAGATTCAGATAATCAAAATATGTTTGTAGCATATTATTTCAGTGTCCCCTTAAATTACATGATGTAGTATGCAGATATATCTATGGGTACAATGTGGATACAAAATTTGCTGCGCACTTGCCATAAGTATTAATATACACTACGTCGGAAAAATTAAGGGACAAGAAGGTACACCTTTCAGTGATAGTAATAAAAACCTACCAAATTCACAAATTCACGTGAACCGCCACTGCATTTCCATTGCACTGCCCAAATAAGGCCATTGACCACCATGTTCGCATATTCTGCTTTCGAATACATTCTTTTTTGTTTAATATTTTCACATCCAATTAATTTTTCTATTCTGTGGTAAAGCAGTAACTACGGAGTGCACGGGCTACTACTAAATGCTACACGTGCAAATGACTTATTTGGGTACCAGTTGTTGCAAAGGTCATGAGTAGGTATAAGTGTTTTGTCACTTGACGCTTGCAATAATAACGAGGCTGCCTCTCAGACATTGACAGCTCGTTAACCGGGGTGCTTTTTATACCCCGTATGTTGTGGCACTATCGCGAGATGTACTGTACGCTGTCTGCAGATGTTACATTTCAAATATTCCGGAATACCGATTGGACATAGTGTATAAGTAATAATTATTGTTTAACATTGATTAACATGAGATACAAATCATTAAATACACAACATAATTATAATTTTAATTTTCCCAATAAAACCCATATGTAGATATTAAATAAATTCCGGTTACTTATAGTGGAATAATTTTAAAAAGTGATATCTAATCATAAGAAACTATTACTAATCTCTAATTTGTCCGTGCTTTGCAATTGTGCACATGCATTGAATATATTATGCTTAACGATATCAACTTTGAATAGACCGCATCGACAAGGGATATCAAGAAGTCTTGAAAGGTACTATGCGGCACCATTATGATTCAAATGAGGTCAGTTTAAGGGACTGAAACAAAGGCAAATGACATTATGTGTAGTAATTTTCGTCGTTAAGAGGAAATTGACTGCATCCAGAACAGCGGCTCTTACGTGGTAATTGAGGATTACATATTCATATGCAAACTCCTGCTGTATGCAAAATATCTGCTTAATTTGAAGTTAAATAAAGCAGAAAACTGAGCTTTTTGCATATTATAACAGGATCTGTTACATCTAACGGACTATAGATATACCCATAATATGGTAGCAATTCTAATCGAAAGTAATATTAGGAATCTAATGAAATTTTTAAATGATTGAGATGTTCATTAAAGTCGTATAATTAAATTACAAATATTAGTGAGCATGTAGTAACTAGTGGGTAGAGAGTTCACCGAAATATATTAAGAATGTTGATCATTTCCTACCCTCTTAAATATAATCGTTGGAAAATCAGGACAGTATTAAGGGTTATAAAATTAGATATTTACCAGTTTTTCTTAGTTATATCATTAATTCCAAAAGCTGTGAGCAATGCAAGAGACATTTTATGCCTTCTACTCACAGCGTTAGGAATTGCTTAATTATATAACCTCGAATAATAGTAAAATCTTTGAATTTTTGTAACCGATACGATGTCTAGACACCTTTTTCTCACAATGTTGCGTTAAGGGAATAATGTTATGATACAGAATGGTGGGTGTCGGTTTAGTCCTGCTTGGTTTCTAGCTCCAAAGCTGTTCACTTACGAATACGGACAACGTTCTGCAAAATTCGATATTCAATTCAATGCTCATTCTCGCTTCGAAGCTTTTGAAAACATACGAAGGCAAGATGCAAATGACGAGCATTCGTCTAACAAAGAAACATTTTCTAAGCACGTAGCTATTACATATGGATGTATATATACCTACTGTAGGTACCGGGTTAGCAGCTTATTTATTCATGCAGTGTTAAAGGGAATAATGTTAATTTACTTCAATCCTTTTCTTACATTAGTAGTAATAATAGAAAATAATTATCCGACACCTGTGCAAGTATTTCAATGATTATGTCACTAAGTCTCTACCTATACACTATCATTTTCACATTATCATGATAAAGTTAGAATATAAAGTTATACATCGGTATAGAAGGGGAATTATTTAATAGATGAATAGAAGATTTCAAATGGAAATGATATAATTTAAGATCAGTATTCGTGAAGAAAAGCATTTACTTGACGGTTTAAGACTTAATTTTGCCGATTTTAATAGTAGACATATTAGAAATTTTCACTTTCTCCTAAGCCCATAATTAACGATCTCGTATATGATCCAATTGCTAAAGATTTTTATTAAGTCTCTATCTACGTTTCAACACCATGTACGACTTCTGCCTACTTTTCACAAAGACGTAAGACGTCGAAATATTTGTAGTGAATTAATAAAAATCTGTTGAAACATTGGAAAGCTCACATTTACTTTTGTTAACTTGACATGTTAGTAGACGTTAATTAGCTAAATTCTTTGTGTCAGAAACTTTAAGCTGAAACTGCGTTATGTATAGTAGTCACTTTCTATATAGGGGAACGTACTTGTACTACTACGTGACTCGTTGGAAGGGGGTGGGGGTCTTCAAAAATTGGTCACAGGAGTGGGGGGCTCAGATTTTCGTCACGTAGTCAACATCCTCTAGGAAAATTTGGAGCTTTTTCGAGCTATATTTAAAACTTTCTGTTTGCAAAAAATGATTTAAAAGCATATTTATGAATTACTACGTGAGAGCGATCTTGGCATATACTACGGGTGGTCATTGAGTATAGGAGGGGGGGTAAAAATTGTAAAAATGGATCACGTAGTATGGTTACGTGCTCTAAGCTGAAACTACATGTATTTATTAGATTTCTTCAAAATGAGCACCTATTCAAACGGCCGTATTTATAAGAGAATTCTATTTAAAAAGTACCGGTCTTGTTAACCGAATTTGCTTCTTCTTTTTAAAAGAGCGCGCATCATTAAAGTCGGACAAAGAAAAATTAGTTGAAGTGTTGTTTCGAACTTTCAAAGTGTCTCGTATAATGCGGGTCATAAATTTTCTGTCTTCTGTTCCAGAGTTGGGAAGCCCTGCCACCGGATACAGCAACATTCACTCCTGACATTACTCCACTCATCCTTTCCGCTCACAGGGACAACTACGAAATAATCAAGATACTCTTGGATAGAGGCGCCACATTGCCAATGCCACATGATGTTAGGTAAAATGACTCATCTTATCCTATTATAGTTCATCTATTATGTACTATTTTGTGTAATTCCCTTGGTAAATACATAAATGCGGAAGTCTGTGCCGTTGAATAGTTATTCGTAGTAGAATGTGTAAACATTAAATTAACTGGGCGATAAATCAATTCTAATATGCAGCAACAACTAAACGGCTAATGAATAACTTATTAGACTAAATTGCAATTAATTAACATAATATCCATAAAATTAACATATGAATAAAACAAATAATTCTGGTAAACTGATGCTGTCCTGTTTCGCTAGCAGGAGTGGCAAGCTTCTTCGGAGGTCCTTGAAGAAGTTCGCCACTCGTGGTAGCGAGACGTTAAGAAGCAATTCCAACCGATGACGGTCTTCAGACCCGAATTAGGACAGCAACAGTTCACCTATTGGTCGCGAGTCTTTATCAGTTTTGATAAAATAATAAAAATCTTTTCTATTCTTACATAAGTATGAAGACCTAATATTTGTAAAGGTTAAAACACGAAGAAAATTTTTATTTTAACCAAAAAATACAATTTTTGATTGTAAATGATTGAATTTGCCGTAGAAATAGTAAAATTTATTAGGTAATTTGTAATAATCTCAATTTTGACATGCTTTTTTAAAAAT